AAACTTTTTGCTCAGTAAAATCGTGTCCAGGATTGATGTATATCACTATACAAGAACTACTGGGTCAATTTCAAACAAACTTGCCACAAAGCATCCGTGGATAAAGGGGATTCAAGTTTGTTCAAATGAAGGGCCATGTCGTCTTTAAAGGGAAGTAGTAAAGAATTCTTCTCAACAACCACTGTGTCAAAAAAGTTGAAACTTATGTGAAAGCTTCATTATGAAGTGTAGATTCATGCAGTTTTATTCAGATCATGTCCCCCGGGGGAAGAGTGTGGCTACAATATGTGATCAAAGTTTTTCATAGAATACTTAGAAAAAATTCTTTCAATTTTTTTTTTCAAAAAGTACTGGGTAAGTTCAGTTTTGAGGTGCCGGCACGAAAAAGATCCCTCACTGCTCAATGACCCTGAGTGCCAAGTATAGGTCTAAATTTGCAGCCCTCCACCGGCAAGTGGTGATGTCTACATACGAATGAAAAATTCTCCAGATAGACATTATAACAACAAATACACAAAAAACAAAATCAGTTTTGTTCAAGTCATGGGTGATCAAAGTTTTACATAGGAATATATGCAGAAAATCTTTAAAAATCTTAAAAACCAGACACCGGTGCCCCCCCCCCCCGTGGTTTGATTTTTTTTGTCTGCTTTGGTAAATTTTGTTTGTTTAACCTGTATATACTCTCAATTTATAAATTTTTTTGCCTATCAAAAAAAAATTCTGAACCCCCCCCTTCCGTTCTGAAATTTCTGGATCCACCGCTGAGAACAGCAGTAGGCCCGTGATTACTGATGTTTATATGGAAGCATCCTCAGGTAGCGCAGACTCAAGTATCTTCAAATCAAACCGGGCCTAGGGTGGGGCCACAATGGGCGATCAAAGTTTTACATAGGAATATATGGGAAAATTTTCGAAAAATTATCTTCTCAAAAACAGCAAAGCAATGATTAGTCATACTTATATGGATTGATTGATTGATTATTATTGTTTAAGGCCAAGTCGGCAATATTTCAGCCATATTTCGGCGATCAAATTAAATGTATATGACTATTTTTGAAGTTTTTTGGTTTCTCTGGCCATATTTATATGGAGCATTCCCGTGCATTGTCATGCGACATGTTCTGATGAACGACAATATGCGCAGTGAGGGTAGGTACACATTCATTCGGCAAACCTCGGCTGATTCCGTCACCTTCATCAAACGTTCGTTTGATGAGGTACGAATCGGCCGAGGTGTGCCGAGTGGGTACACATTGTCGCCGGCGAAAATATAATATTTGCAGCGAAAATGTACCTGTATTCTTTCCGGATTCCCTGACTATGCAAATACACTGTAGGTATTCCCCTACATAATCCAAAACCATTTTTAATAATTCGACATATGGATCTGTCAGAAATATCCGAGATATATTGTTATTTTCTTCCTTCATTTTGTATTAATTGAAAACTGGTACGATCCACAGAGTCGAAAAGGGCGTTGTACTGAATTCGAATTCACTAACTAGTATCCTGCAACCAAAACTGACCCAAATTGCACCCGCTTAATTCTCCGTTTTGTTTTTATCTGATTAATAAATCATATGTTTTATTATAATTGTAAAAAATTTCATACTTACTAAATTAACACCTGGGTTTTGAAATCCTACTAAGACAATGGATGCCCATACAACTACATATAGCAAATATATAATAAACCGCCACAAAACATTTTCAAATGTTATCCATATACTTTGTAAGCAGGATCCTGCTTCAGGACACGGTGATGAAAAGTTATATGTATATATAAGGGGCCCTTCAAAGCGGTGTAAAAATGAACTTATGTGTCGACACGAGTAGGGGAGGATGCGGTTACATAATAACTGTCATACTTTGCCTCTAAAACATCTTTACTAAGAAAGGAAACAATGTTAAAGCCAAGAAAAGAGCAGAAACTTGACAAGACTTGAAGTTCATTGCTGTTTCCATGGAAACGTTGGCCATTTTGAAATTTTCATATCCCAAACTCCGTCACCATAAGCGGAAAACACACCGCATTACTCTGAATTATTTTTTGTTTTTGTTTCTCTTTGCTACACTTTGTAATAAACTTCAACATTGTTTTAGTACTATTAACAAAAAAATTCCAGTTATTGCCTTACGCCACGTCAGGCAGGTTAAGGAACAATTTTTGCATGGTGCGAAACTAAGGGTTAACAGCTATCCAGTTATATTTTGTGTAGGCTGATTTAAATCGGAATTTGTTACCTGCTTTTTAACAACAACAGTTAGCAGAAGAATTAATCATATTATTGATGAAAAATCTTGATGTGTAAACTTCGTTTTTTGAATGGAACTCTTTATTCCATGCGATTCCCTATAAATGGACATGTCAGTGTAACCTTTTTTGGGGAGGGGGGTTCTATACCACTGGATCAGTAGTCTCGATCAACCAGACACTCGTCTGTCTCCTTAAACAGCCGAGTGTCTAGTTGAACGAGACAACTGGATCAGTCGGGATGACACAATCATTTCGCGCCAAATGTCACGAGTAAATCTTCGCGCCTTTTCCTTGGAACGTTCTTCTGAATGGGGGCATCTGATAACTGGTTTTAAATAAAGTTTGTTCTCTTAACATAATTTCCGAGTTTTGGAATTTTTATTATCTATTTTTTTTCTTTTAAATAACGTCGTATACGGGCAGGTAACACTAAAGCAATGAATTTGCTAAGTTTTCCTTCTTATTTTATTTCCCGGTTTATCTCATAAGTGGACAAGTCAATTAGTTTTAACTACACATGTAAATCATTAACAAAACACCATTCAACAAGTGATGTCGGGAACGAAAATGTGTGTAGATAGAAATCACATGCTATATAAAGATCTAAAATAATTAAAATGTAAGAAAAAAAAACTTCTGAAGAGGAAGAACTGGCCAAATATATACATGATAATTCTGATACATTGCAGTAGTGATGGATGTGTAAACACATTTTGCGTGTGTATCATAACAATTTAACGTGTTTCTTGTAAATAATTTCCGTATTCATTTCTCTGAAGATATTTAATGCATTATTTGGATTTAAAGTTTTTTTGATTTTAAGACAATAAATGGACATCTTTCTTCAGACGGACAGTATTTTTTTTTCAATATAGTCATCCACTTCAACAAGGGAAATTGTATGCACTTTTCTCTATCATGACAGGCTTGAGACTAGCATCGTTTTTGAACCTTTACTTAACTTACTAGGGCCTTCTACAATATGCCAACGAATTAAATATAATTTTTTCCAATTAGTTTTTTTATGGTCCCTTTTTCTTAAATTTGTAAACATAAAAAAATAAGTAAAGGTTCAAATGTACACGACATACGTTCCATTTAGAGATGGTACATGTATATAAGCCCAACAAGTAATAGTTTTCAAAAAGCTTGCCTGACTAAAGCAGTCAATGTATATGTATAAGCATGATAAGTAATAAAATTTACTTCCATTTCTAGTTTTCAAGATTTAAAATAGTATTAAATTGTATTTAAAGAAAAGTATCAATAACAGAAAAATAACGTTAATATATAACGTATTTTATAGCGCTAACGTTATCTCAAATGTGTATAGTGCATTGGGGCAAATGTAGACCAAATCCATCTCTAAGATTTTATTTTTTACAACTATTGTTATAAAACATAGTGCATATACATGTATGTTCAGGCACCGATTTTGTACCAGAATGTCAGTATTCAGTTCTGGTAACTCTGTACTTCGTTTATTTTCATTTTTTTTTTTTACACAAATGTCAAGTTTGCATTTGTCACTTTACACCACAGGTATAACTGCGGAAACGTATTGCTTAAAGATATAATAGTAAAGTTATATTACTTTTCCAAAACGTAACAAAACTTTTTGCGGAAATGTAAAAATGATTTTTTTTTCAAATTTTGCGGAAATGTAATACGCACTGGAGCTGGGATCAGATGCATAAGCGAAGCAAGTCCCTGTCAATCTGTCACACCTGCCATATCTCTGTATTGATCAGCTTGACGGAGTATTCTGAAATCAAGATTTGTATGAAATGGCCTAACAATTGATATGAAATCTTCAGTCAAAATGCAACCCAATGCTAGTCTGTATTTGCAGAGAAGGTCATTATATTAGAGAAATGCTGACTTTAAACGGGTGAAAACCCTGTAAAATCAATGCAACTTATTTTTTAGTAGTTAGCCTCGGTCTGAAAATTGGTCGTCATCAGAATACCGACTCAGCTGAGAAACATGAACCCTGCTTAATAAATAGGGACGTTAATACTGGAATAGCTGTGAGGATTGATAAATCATAATTTGTAATATTCACGGATAATTCATGATTTTTTCCCTATATGCTTTCTTTGCACAAAGGGGGTGTGCTTACATATATTTATGGAGTAGTAATATGAGAATTAGGTGGCCCTTTATGAAGTTTTCTTCTTGATTTTCCTATTTTAAGTAAACGTCGAAATAATGTTCTCATTTTAATAGATCTGCAAACAAGCCTTATCCATCCAATATCTCAAGTCTGTAACGATTTTAAAGGAATTTAGAACTCGCGGAAATCAAAGAGTTATGACTATTCTAATAAGATTTCCTGTGGTCATGAAAGCTGATTTGAAGGAAATTCTTTCGGGTGATCTTAGTTTAAGACATGAAGTAAAAGGATAGCCAATCCATGTATTGGGTAAATGTCAAGTTCTAATCAGAAACATACATATAACTGCTTATTTATATCTCTGTTGTATTGGTCGAAATTTATATAGGAATTATCGAATTCTATTAAACCTCTGGACTAAGGGTCCAGGGTTATATTCCCTTTTTCTTTCTTTCTTCCGTTTAATACCATCATGCATGGTGATTGGGTGAATAAACTTTTACGAAAGTTACACATTTTTCTTGAAAAAGAAGTTGTAGGCTGGCATGGTTTGTCCAGACTGAGAAGTAGCAAGTGATGTGATGCTGGAGATTTCAAAAGTTGAACAAACAGTAATGGACAATAATGGAAAGTAAAATTATTACGGCCATTTTTTGTATATTTTTTGTGAAATGTGTATGTGTTGAATCTTTTTGCCCGTCTCAATGCCAGTGTTCCAATATTTCTGCTATCTGCCGTCCAGTAATAAGCAGATTCCCGTCTGCTCTACCAGCAGAAATTAACAATTTACACCTAAGCGGTACTTTTACCTCTAAAAACAATTTACCATCTATTGAACGTGCTTCGTTTTCGTCTTTACTGAATTTGGAAAGGCTTTATATTGCTTTTAGCAATGTGGAATCCATTGCAGATGGCTCTTTACCGTCATCATTGATTACACTGGACCTTTCCTCCGATAAACTTGGTGAAATTTCGGAAAACACATTTAAAGGATTGAGATTGCTTAAAACATTGCATTTGTCTGGAAATAACGGAACTGAAATAGCTCTCTCGGCTTTCAAGGATTTGACCCATCTGACAGAACTATACCTCGCAGAAATGGGTTTGACAAAGCTGGATAAACGCCTGCTTAATCCTTTAGGTATGTTGAAGACTTTAGATCTTCACGGAAACAATATCAAACGCATAGATTGGAGTTTTACCACGACCAGTAATAACCTAGCGTACATAGATATATCTGGGAATTTGTTCACCGAACTATCAAATTCAAGCATGTTACCATTGCCTAAACTTAAAACTCTGCGTTTAGACAGTAATGAATGGCATTGCAGTTGAGCTTTAGAATGGGTAAAAGTACTTCCAAGTCCGATGCCAGAATCTGTAGTATGTACCTCACCAAAGTCTTTGCAGTATTATTCAATTGTGAATGCTCCATCTTCACAGTTAATATGTGTACCTGCATCTGTTAGCTGTACATCATCTTCGTTTACCGGTAAATATCACACTCAGCTGGAGATTTCATGCACATTTGGAGGGGATCCTTTTCCAGATATCATCTTTACAAGACCGGATGGAACAGCACTGAAATATTATAACTACAATGAAACAAATTATGTCGTGTCTGAAACCGGTGTCCTTACAATAAAGTCTCTGGATGTTGTGGACGATGGAAAATGGACGCTAAAGGCCAATAACGTGAAAAAAGAGAACGATGTGAGTCTGACTGTGACTGTGACCGACATCCCGACAACCACCACAACAACCACAACAACTCCCACTACCACCATTCCTACCACCACCACCACCACTCCTACAACGACCACCACTACCACTACAACTACCACTACTACTAAAACCACCACTCCTACCACCACATTTGCCACTCCTACCAACACCACAGAACTGTCTACGTCTATTACAACTACAACCACCTTTTCTGCAGCAACAAATACAAGACAACAAAATGAAGCTGTCAACAAGACTAAACCGATGGATATAAATAACATTATTTACGGGTTGATAGGAGTGGTCTTAGGATGTTCTGTTTTTATTCTGATAATCTGTTTCAAAATGTACTACTGCACAAAAAAGAAAGAAAGATCTAACGAAAATCAAACCCTTGTTGAAAATATCAGGATGTGGATTTCCAGAAAGTTTCAAAGAGTACACAACATTAACTTCACCGGAAATTGAATTAAGTCTGTGCTTGCTTAAAACAAACAGCACAGGGACTGAGCAATGAATCTCAAAAATATCACTACATAGGAGATTCTAATTTTGTAGTTTTTCAAAACTACAAACTTGGGTGTTTATCTTGGATAGAATGGCAACAAAATGTGCTTATTTACGTGTACTAGTACAGTGTATATATTTAAATTAAAAAAAAAAAGCTATCTAAAAAAATTGTTTATGTGGAAAATTTGCAATGAGATTACTCTAGTATAAAATCACTGATTCATTAACTAAATTCGAAGGTAACCTTAATATACTATTACATTTATTGACTGGGTTCCAGGGCAACATGCCTTTTGTCGGATCCAAGAACCGAACTGCTTGCCTGATGCCGTTAGGCCTCAGGCAAACAATTTAGTTTGAGGGGTTGGCAAAACGCATTTTATAAAGTACATAGTTTTATACTTATAAAGACGTGAAGGTATAGACAGTGGGTTTATTCTCTCCCTCTCCTTCTTGCTATTCTCCCTCGTTCTACCCCAATACAATCTCCTTCTACCTTTTCAAGCACGTAGCTAGGGGGCACTTGATATGGACGCGTGGATCTTGAGGCATGGAGATCGGAGGATCCTATCCGCCCCCTACCCATGTGAAATTAAGAAACTAGGTGTGTATAAAACGTAATCGGTCAAAAGTCTGGAAATGAAAGTGATATACTTAATTGAGCTGAAGGCTGATTCTATTTTTAAAAATTTTAATTGGCCCCTGTGGTTAGGATGATGCCATGTGAGGACATCAGAGTTTAACACATGGCTGTAGGAACCGGGGGCACGGGGGGGGGGGGGTGCCCCCCAATAATATTGCCGATATATAGATTACTATAGTAAACATAGATACTATATGTAAATGCCTGTGCCCCCTCAATAAAAACGTCTGATGCCTTTTTTTTTTTTTTTTTTTTTTTTTTTTTTTTTTTTGCTTGTCAAGGAATTTTTGGTAGTTGATGACCTTTTTTTTTGCTTGTCAGGAAATATTTGGTAGTGCCCCCTCAACTGTCAACTGAAAATGTATGGCTGTAACCCCCCCCCCCCCCCCCCACTGAATTTGCTTCCTATGAGCCTGTAACATGGGAAAATATTGAGAAAATCTTTTAAAATCTTCTCAAGAGTCACTCAACCAGAAAAGACAAAGAAGATGGGCGAACAAGGCGAGCGAAATCCATATAGTGCTACAAACATGAAGGTGAAAAATTAAATCTCAATTATAACCAAATTTTCTTCGATATTTCACCTAACATTAAAGTATACTTTATGTTAAATCTCCACAATTTGCAAAAATCTCACAAAGGTTGAAATTGTACTGCCTATGAAATAGCATACACGCACTTAAGAGGGCAAAAAGGATCATTTTCTCATACTACAAAATAATTTTTTGGATCTGAGTGGGTCTTCGCTCCATTTTTTTTTAAAAGTTTATTCTCAAAGTTTGCGTAAATATGTACATTTTTTGGTTAACAAATACATGGAGCAATGACCCACTATACCTTAAAAATACAATTTTATGACACAACATTCGTATCTTTCCGAGAAATACTTTAAGTCCATTTAGTCAAGGGTCAAATCACAAAGATGATTTAAATGCCTCTATTCATCAAGAGTTTGTAGCACAGTGGTTAGTGTTTTGGTCTCTAAGGAAAATGATACCCAGGGCTTTTATTGCTAGGGTTCGAACCCGGAAGGAGAAAATTTTCCTCAAAAAAGTTTTGTCTTTCATAATTTCATAAATTTCAATAATGAGAACTTTACTCTAAATACTAAATTCACAAAGTGAATATGTTTTTTTATATATCTGAAGATATAGGTATTCTGCACGCCTTGTTCACCCATCTCCTTTGCTTAAGGAGGGATTCTTCTCATAAGAACACTTCTTTCTTATATTTAAAAATCAATGAAATTTTCACAGAATCAAGAAGACAATATCACTAAGTGATGGTATCAGTTAGATTATAAATTTGACCGTTTTATATTAGAGGCATGGTCAGGTCAAGGTCAGTACCTTTTCCCTGAACATTAAGAATAAAAAATCACTGTTGCCAATCATGCGATGCCTACATCTAATTCAATAACTTAAATGTTTGTCTTTTTGCATAAAGAGATATTACCATATAGGGTCTATAAGATGGTATTACCAAATTGACATAAATAATTTAACTAAAATGGATATTGGTTAATCCGAATTTTCTCTATTTTTCTTAAAATTTCAAGATATTTTAGTTATTTTTATATGCTTCCTATATTTAAATTTTTCTTATTTTCACATATGGTAAAGTTGTCACATAAAGATACAAAATGATGTAAAAACAAAAAGTTTTGACCGTTTACTAAGAGAGAAAAAACACTTTTTACGGATTTTTGGCTCAAATCTGAACTTAGATTGGAAGCTTTTAAAAGCTAACATAATTGTAGTTTGTTTGGAAAATCATATTTATTTGATATATTTTAAAACTTTAGTCCCTTATCATTAATTTAACTTACATTTAAAAATTTTCTTTAAGTCTTTGATTGTGTAAAAATTATAACTAAATTCATTGTTCTATAATTATTTTGAGAGGCAGAAAAGAAGAAATTTTCATACGCTGCCATTCCGCCAAAAATATAGTCCCTGCTAGATTTCAAACTCAGTTTACCATTTCTATTTAAAGTTGTACAATTGTGATGAGGAAGGGAAAATATGATCTTTTAAATCTCTTACATCTAAATATATAAAACATATAAGCAAATATACTTTGAATATTTCATCTAGTCAGAAACCAGACAAGAATCCCTCCTTAATGAAAGATTCGTCAATTTACAATTACTAGCTTGTCCAGATTGTATTGTGTATCTGATTAACTCAGATGTTTAAAGCATTCACATGTTGTGTTGTAACTTTCAGATTTTTTTTATCTCCCCGCTTAATAAAAAGAGATATATAGTGATGGGGGTCTCCGTACATCCGCCCGTTATACTTGGGGATAGCTATCCCTTATCCGCAACTCCTCTTCCACGACTGAATGCAATTTAGTGAAACTTTAACGAAATCTTTATGATATATAGTGGCATTGTGCAGGTCCCATTTTACTTTTAATCGGATAAATATCTGGGGTTTCCCATAGCAAAACAATGGCACTGCCAATCTGAATATAATATGGGGAGGGGGGTTACCCATCTCTTATCGTCAACTCCGCCTTCATGTGTACCGCTGGGTAAAATTTTTTGAGACTTTCCCAGAATCTTTATACATAATGCAATTGTGCACCTTCTATTACGTTTCGATCGGTAAAAAATATTAAGGACTTTGCCATCCTTGGTACACTCGGGGGTTTCTATAATTTATCTGCAACTCCTCATACGCCATTGAATGCAATTGAAAGATTTTTTTCACAGAACCTTTATTACATAGTGCCACTGTAGACCTTCTGTTCTATGTTTTGATGGGACAGATGTTAGGGGTTTCCCATAGCAAAATATGGACTTTGTCATTATACTCGATAAAGATAGTAACCATTTTGTAAACGCAATTCCTCCTTAACCCCTGAATGAAATTCAATGGAACTTTCAAAGAATCTCATTCACATGGTGTAAAGAAATGTATTTTGCAATTATACTTATATGGGAACGGGGATTATCATTTTGTGAGCTCATTGCTCATAACTTATCTCTCATTTTTAAATCATGCTGGAAAAAGACTTTTCTGCTAAATTATATATTATACTTTTAACTTTTCAAACCAAAATTGTATATAGGTAGAACAAAACACCCGTGAAATCAGTTTTAATTCATCTCTTCTAAAACACGCCGGAAAAAAATCAATCTAATGTCAATGATCAATTATCTATGGAAGGAAAAATACAACCTGTGACACGTATTCTAAAAAAAAAAGAAGAGATATCCCTTATATTGGACATTGTTGAGGCTACATTTAGGATTGTGCTTATGTCATCTATACGCGATTTAGCTATCTATTATTAATTAATTAATTAAAAGTGCTTTTTTTAAATTCCTTTATAGTAGAGACCTGATATAAAGAGTCTCCATGATTTATGTACATTAAGGCTCAACGCCACATTTAGAGGCCATACGTCAAATATTATGATGGCATCTACTGATTCTTTTATTTATAATTTTTTTTTTTTTATTCTTTTTTTTTTTTTTTTTTTAATTTTTTTTGCATTGAATTTTTTTTTATATTTCTGTGAAGTAGAATTCATTCAAAAACTTCTAAACGAGAAAAAGAAAGCACTTTTTGTGGCCTTCAACTCGACATTCTGATATATCGACGACGTGTATATTTACTTGCATTCATATGTCGACTCGATATAACCCAGTGAACTAGAAATTAATGTTTTACTGACTATAGACGATGAGGGCCAACTAACAATTAAATTGTATGACAAACGAGATGACTTCAGCTTTTCCATCGTCAATTTTTCTGATTCAAGTAGTAATATTCTACTATCACCTGCGTATGATGTTTATGTCTCCTACCTTAATCGATACTCATGCGCATGCTCTGCATGCGTACGACCATTTTTTTAATCGAGGCAGGCTACTGACAAATAAGTTGATGTTACAGGGAGTTCAACAACTCAGTTTAAAGTCAGCATTTCGTACATTCTGTGGTCGTTATAATGACATTAGTAAATCTGACAACGGAATATTCCGCCTAATTGATTAATACACAGGTTTCACGGCGGGTGTGACTTGTCGACAGCTAGGGGATGCTTACTACTCATAGGTACCTGATCCCCCATCTGAAATTTCCGGGGATCCGTATTTTATGCCCTGCTCACAGATTTGTACTGATTGTAGTTTTTTTTTTAGATTAATCACTGTTCCTTATCTTTTTTTTTTTTATTATTAAATCTCCAAATTATCTGAAACCCACGGTTCAATTTCCGTCATCATAATTCACACATTTAATCTTAGTTTGTTTCATTTCAATCAATCTGTTAATTTTTTTTTAATTTGAATTATACATTTTCTTCTAAGAGATCTTCTAAGTGTAGCATATTTGCAATAATCTGGACCATGTGTGTTCCATTTTTACATCACAGTGCATTCAAATATATTGGTATATGAATATATACTAGTAACAAAAAGGTCACCTTTCTAAACAACTAATGTTGAATGTCTAATTTCACCCTCTCCTTACAGGAGTCTTGTAGGCTATAAATCAAACTATGTGGGCAAAGAAACTGTATCGTTGATTTTCGTTCAAATTACACATAAAGAGAGTTATTTTGCGTCTTACAGCATTTTATCAAATTTTCAAACAAACTGAATTTGAGGGGAAATTTGGCCTATTTGTTTTGTACTACCTTAAACCATTTATAATTTTAGTTCTTCATAGTGGTTTACACCTCCGTGAAAAGATATATCAAAATAGGAGAAAGTAAAGTGATGGGGTGTATTATATATGATAATTCATGGTAGTAAAAATTTAAATTATCACATTACTTAGTTACAAAAAAGCCTTTTTAAAGCAAAATCACAAAGAGAAAAAAATTAACCCTGTTTGGATCAAACTCCTAATCATCAGCTTCCCAAGCTAAAACTTCATATTACCAACCAGGCCCGTAGGAAGAAAATTCAGTTAGGGGGGGGGGGGGAGGCACAGCCATACATTTTCAGTTGACAGTTGAGGGGGCATTGCCAAAAATTTCCTAACCAAATAAAAAAAAAGTCATCAGACGTTTTTATTAAGGGGGCACAAGCATATAGTATCTATGTTAACTATAGTAATCTATATATCGGCAAAATTATTCCCCCCCCCTCGGCCCCCCGGTTCCTACGGTCATGCCAACAGACAATGAAAGTCACCGTAACTGATATTAAACTGACTCTCATCTCTCATCAGAATTAGTCCAAAAATATCTGACGTTTTCCAGGGGTTTTTCACGATTTTGATATTTGACTTGATAGGAAAATGTCAGTAACGGCGCCATTATGATAAGTGGAAACGTGGCACGTAAAATTCCAAGATCGTGAAAAACGCCTGGAAAACGTCAGATATTTTGGACTATCATCGTAATATACTTGCCCCCCTTCTAAAATAAAAATTGTAACATATTGTCAATTTGTCATTTTACCCTTAATCTCCAGTGTTAGAGGCAATTTAGAATAATTTCAACGTGTTTTAATTTAAAATTGCTACTAGCATTCATATGTGTATCTTTTTACCATTGACCATTATGTTTTATTATATGATTTAATAATTCCTATTGAAATAGGGGATCTCTGATTTTAAAGACTTAAAGATCTTTTGAAAAAAATCCTAAATTCTTGAAAAACATTAAACCACAATAAATTAATTCAGCCATTAGGTAAGAAATTTGTACATATCCATAACTGAGAATTAATATTTAATTTAAAAAGGACTTATCGCATACTTTCAAAATCATTAAGTTCTATCAATACATAGTTACATAGTACACAAATTTGTTTGTACTAAAGGACTTGCTTCAAATTGACTTGTTGAAAATTTCCTCAAATGGCTTACATGTCAAAATAAAAAGTTTTTTATGCTATTAAACAAGTTTGAGTAAATTAACGAGGGTAAACTCTGTTTCTTTAGTTTTCTTTATGGTAAATATAAATTCAGCCATACTTGAGATTTTCTAATGATAAATCACTCTCTACCATCGGCTCACACGTGTCTGAGAGAGGAACAAACGACAACTCTGCATAGGAGATTGATGATAAATATCCAAGTTCAAAGTTAACAAAACTGAGCATTAGTTTTTATCCTACATTAATTTACACTGGTCAATATCAGAAGCCAACTATTCCTCATGATAAACATTTTTGTTATAATTGTAACAATGCAAATGAAGACGAGAAGCATTTTTTACTTGATTGCAAAGAATATGACAGTATTATATCCATATTATTTCCTGCTTCTTTACATGTATATAATACTGCATTGTTGTTGTCAAAGATATTCACGCCAATGTATTTAATGGTACTTTCATCCATAAAATCTTATCTTAAGTGAGAGAGAATCAATTCATACATCACATTTTCTTGACTAACTGTCTCTGTGTAAACAAAAACTATAAGAAATGGCTCATAACAATTTAATATTACTGTAAATAATTTCACAATAATGCTAGAACTTGATGTTAAGAATTCAAGAACAATGCTGAACTTCAGTTTATCAATCAAATTAATTTATCGCCTGTCGGTTTTTCCACCCTTGCGTTTTCCTGCAAACAGATGTTTAGGTTTCATGTTCAATATGACACGGTCTCCCTCTCCTTTCTTGGCCTCACGGTTTCGAGGAACTTGAGCTTTCCTGCCAATAGTTTTCACCTTCTTGGCCATCTTTGCATCTCTAACTCCTGACTGATCACGTGGTGCTTTACTCATGGATCGACTCCTGGACCTTGGTTTGTCTACATCCATTGATTCTTCCCTCTTTCGTTTCAGAGCCTTCCTGCTCTTGCTTCTTGATCGCATTTGGTTTAGGTGAGTATCTTCCTCTGAATCCATTTCAATTCCGAGGTCCCCTAGCTCTTTACTCATTTTCTCTGTACTCATTTTCATTCTAGGTAGTCTAGGTTTTTCTATCCTTCTCTTTTCTCTGGACTCCAGCATAATTATTTTCCTTTTCTCTCTGATTTTTCTGGCTGTCTTCCTTATGTTTTTCATCTCTTCATCCTCTTCTTCACTCTCATTGTCATAGTAACCAGCTTGTTCTCTCATTTCTTCTTCCTTTTCTAACTCATCCAATTTCTTCATGATGTCGGGATCGATGAAGTCTGCGACATTGTGTCCCTGCCAGATCTCTGGGATAACATCATATTTCTCCTCTTCATTTGAGAGGTCCCAGTGTTTTCTCAAATCAACAACATAATCATCTCCCTCTTCCAATTCAATGTCTCTTTCAAGCTTACGCTTGGGTTTCACATCAGTGTCCATGGTTTTCTTCATATGTAATATAGCTTCAGGGATGCAGGGGGGTCTTTCTTTGTTGTCACGCTTAGCTGGCATTGCAACATGCAGTCGATTCATAACATCATTGACTTTTTTCCCCTTAATTTTACTGTCAATTCTGTATTGAAGTAATTTTTCACATGCTTGTATTTTGACATCCATAACTCCTTCCTCTGTCAATGTGCTCATGGGTAGAACTGGTATATCATTTTCTTCAAATTCTTTCATTAGTTCTGCCTTTTCTTTTGGAAGATCATCTATGCGGACTACATCAATCTTGTTGGTACAAATGATCAGCGGTTTATTCACAAAGAGAGGCTTTATGTTATTAAATAGTTCAATTTGTTGTTCAATTGAATATCCACACTGTTCAGAAAGATCCATGACATACAAAACAGCTGCTCGCAAATGAGCCAGTGCAGTAATAGCCTGCATTTCAATGGTATTTCTCTCTTCCAAAGAATGATCTAGAATTCCTGGTGTATCAAGCACTTGCCACCGGAGATACTTGTAGTCAGTATGACCCACATATAATGATTTGGTAGTAAAGGCATAAGGCTGAACTTCAACATCAGCTCGAGTGATCTTGTTGATGAAACTGGACTTCCCAACATTTGGGAAACCACACACCAACAAGGTACGAGTGTTCGGATCAATTGAAGGCAGACGGGAAAGATGTTGACGCACCTGTTCCAGATACTCCAAACTTTGCTTTTGACGTTTCATAATGGTACACATTCTTCCCATGGCAGCTTTCTTAAGTTGTTTACACCTGTAGAGCGAGTCTCCATATTTGAGTAGGCGGCAGTAATCTTTCGAAACATTGTCAATCAAATGCCTGGCTGTGTTGATCTGACCCAAAGCAAGCTTGTAATGATCTTTGTCATACAGTACGTTCATTAAATCCGCATAAAAGGGATGGACATCTTCAAGTTTGGGAAAATCTGTTATGATTTGAGTCAGCTTGTCATGAAAATTTTGCTGTGTATACTTCACTTTCCGCATATAAAACGTCCGAATTCTGCTGATTTTGTAATGTTTATGCACGACAGTTGGAGTTTTCCTCTGCGTCTTCGACAAGACGATGTCCACAAAATCCTTTGCAGGAGGAACAACAGTTATTTTCTTAAAATTGTAATGAGCCATTCTGTCTGATGTTCTCCCGATCACATGTGGACGTAAAAAGGAAGTGACGAAATGTTTTCATCATGGTCTTGAAAATTTTTGTGTTACTAAAGTACACATTACAATGTTCAAAGCGCACTCATGATTTTTATATTATGAAAATTTAAAAATATATATATTCGCAGAAAAATTTAAATGATAGTAAGGAAATATGGAGACATATTCCTCACAATACTTTTAATATTTTTTCTTCATTTTTTATTGAAGGACACTAATTACCAGAAAAGTAGTAATAACACCACACTTTCATATACACAAGTCAGCTATGTTTAAAGGCTCAATATGCCGAAAATTTAGTAAATGAATTTATAAAATAAATGTTTTTTACGTTTAGAGAATAATATAAGCTGTTCATTATTTTATCAGATACATTACATTTATTTATGTCCCTGTTTATTAAAAATAAAAAAAAGTATTTCACTTTGAATACAAAATATTTTGGGGCTTAATAATAATATGAAAAAGTGAAATTTATTTTTTAATAGGCTATTTGTTAATATTTTAAAATTGTTAGATCACAGTAATGAAAAAGGAAAATTTTTTAATAAAAAGATTTAAACAATAAATATGGTATTTTTATTAGTGAACAATATCAATGTACTGAAACGATTCTACCATAGATGAAACTATTATTTATGTTAAGTACTTTGAAAAGTATTAGATTATTTTTTTTATGAAGGATTTTTGCAGGGACCTATATACTAACTTAGTATATAGGTCCCTGATTTTTGTTTCAAAAGAGTAGTCTTTCTTTTGGTGTAGTTAGTCATCGCAATCACTGCAGCGCTTTCATCCGGGCATTTTAAGCGGTTCGTCTCGAAGATCAACAAAACAGACATGGTAAAAAACTTGATAATTATGCTTATTTTAATTAATTTATGCAGTGAGTCTAATTTGGAAAAGAATATCCCAAAATCATAGAAAGTACAGCCAATTGTTAAACCATTTCAAGTAAATAATAATGCAGACAGTTAGAAAATAACAAAAGAGAGCTTTGAAAGTGCATGTTTTCACTTGCGTTGAGGGAAATTTTCAGAAACACGTGAAATAAAAAACGAAATACAGATATTATGAATTGCATAGATAATTACTTCATTTTGTAGTAGTAGAACTCTTTTTTATTTGATATTGTAAAAGAAACATTTGAAAAATGATTTTTAAGAACATTATTAATGGAAATAAGAAAACTATAAAATATTACAGTTGCAATTCATTGTATACAGGTATTTTTTTAAAAAAAATTACATTTAAGAAAAAAGGTGTCAAAATTGCTGAATTAATTAAGCTGTTTCTGATAGTCAAATAAACTAAGATGTTATAGTTTGGACAAGTGCATTGTTCAAACTACCCCGATCATCATTTGGAAAGTTGATGGTTGGGTACACTCAGTGTAGATGTGGTAGTGTCCGATTCTTGCCTTCCTGTTAGCTTGGGCTAGTGGGATAACCCTTTAGTCAATTGACAGAGCACTGAACTGGCATGTCACAGGTCCAGTTTCCTTCCCAAGTGGAAATACATACATGTCTCTGTTATGTAAGTCCGTTCATGAGTTGGCATGTTAATTTTATTTCCATAACAGAGTGCAATAAGTGCAAATTTTAATGTAGTGTGTTTAATCTACTCTTTATATACCATTTACATTGAAGATAAGTGAATTTCTTTCTCTTTTATTCAAATATTTGTGACTTGTTTTGTTATTGCAAGAACATAGTTTTGGCAGCCATTTGTAATTTATAGAGGATTGTGAGTACCAAGTTTACTTTGAAAAAAATTCTGATGGAGCAATGTGCTTATTGTCTAAATTTTATTTTTGCGTAGATGTCTTAAGAGCCCACAGTGCAGGTGGCGCTTTGCACTGCTCTCTGAAATAGCTATAAATCTTTACTGTTGTTTACTTGACAAAGTTAGCATTTGTAGGGATGTAAAATTGTAAATTTGTTTGTATCCGAGTAAGGGTGACCCATGCCATAAAATGTAAAATTGTAAATTTGTTTGTATCCGAGTAAGGGTGACCCATGCCATAAAATGCACTCGCATACAATAATGACTCCACAGCTTTACAGCTAATTAATAGACCGTATTACCTCTGTTAATTAAATGTTGGTATGGCCATTGACTTATCTGGGAAATGATAGGCTCAAGTGCTCAAGTTTTTTTTTGGGGGGGGGGGGGTCAAGGAGGTAAGTAAGTCAGTTTAATCATTGCATGCTATAAAATGCTTAATTATTTGTAATTTCCAATAAAAAATATCTCTTTTCTTAATTCATCAGATAGTGTGCATATGTGACCATTCAGTGGCAATTATAAGCATGCCCATCCAATCTAATTAAAATCAGACTTCTTAGATCTGCATCGTTTACAGAGTGTATACAGCACAGACCTAAGAAGTCTGATTTTACTTAGAATGTACAAGTATATTTCAAACGTTGCTCTCACTGACAACACTTATTCCCAGAATTTTTTTTTCTTTTTAGGTCACCTGAGTCACTCAGGTGACCTATTGCTATCCGTTTTTGTCCGGCGTCGTGTGATGTGCGTTAACATTTGAACATTTTTAGCTTCTTCTCTGAAACCGCTCAACCAAATTCAACCAAATTTGGCTTATAGCATCTATGGGTGAAGGGGAACAAAAATTGTGAATTTCATGGTCCCTGTCCCCCTGGGGCCTGAGGGGTGGAGCTAAAACCACCAAAATTAATGCAATCTTTAAAAATCTTCTTCTTTACTCCTGGACGTCAAGCAGTCAAACTATTGGCATGATTGTAATAAGCATTGAGTCTACCAAAATTGTGAAATTCATGGCCCCAGGGTCAGGGGGCTCCTGGGTATTAAATTCAGTAACTAAGTACATAGTTATGATGAACAAGAGTGCCTCTTCCAAAATTGTGAATTTCATGGACCCTGGGTCAGGGGTTCTGGTGTTAGGGCGGGGCTCTATTGATTATATACCGTAAATCTGGAAATTTTTGCTGTAGATAAATTTTTAGCAAATTTGCGCGTGCATTGCATTCGCAAAAATATATTTCTTCAAAATAAATCAACAACAAAAAAAATAAAAACAAAAAAAATTGCTATTTTTAACAAGATGAACAGGTGTTCGTAAGCAGTGGTCATTTTAAGAAACCTGTTTATACTAACAAGTTAATTACCCGTCATAATCCTTGCATGAGAGTGCCTTCACTTCACCGTTGGTTTGACAGGCAGTATGTCTCTTTTAAATTATTTCTCTAAGAGAGGCCAGTTGTTTAAGAACAAATGTTTTTATCTGAAGGTTTGTTAAAGCTGACATCATTTTATATAATAATTTTATGTACATGCGTGATTTTTTAAAATGTTATGAAAACTTTAAATAGTTTAGATGTTTTATCTCGTAAATTCTAATATTTTTATCTGATTGTTGAACATTTGTATTGTTTAGTATTGTATGTACACGTGTAATTTATTGAAAGTACATAATCCGATTATTGAATGTTGGCATTGTTTAATATTGTATGTACAATGTACATGCGTATGCGAAACTTATAAACTGCTATGAAAATTTTAAGCACTTTTAAATTTAAGCACCATGAATGTCAATTCGCAAAAAAATTAATCAACAGCTTTTTGACCCAGATTCGCAAAAATAAATCGACGTAAAAATTTCCAGATTTACGGTAGTGAAAATGCATTAATTCTTTGAAAATCTTCTTCTCTGCTCCTGGCTATTAAATTCAGTAACTAAGTACATAGTTATGATGAGCAAGAGTGCCTCTTCCAAAATTGTGAATTTCATGGCCCCAGGGGCAGGGGTTCTGGTGTTAGGGCTGGGCTCTATTGATTATATAGTAAAAATGAATTAATTCATTGAAAATCTTCTTCTCTGCTCCTGGGTATTAGATAAACTAACTAAGTACATAGTTATGATGAGCAAGAGTGCCTCTTCCAAAATTGTGAATTTCATGGCCCCTGGGTCAGGTGTTCTGGTGTTAGGGTGGAGCTCTATTGATTATATAGTGAAAATGCATTAATTCTTGGAAAATCTTCTTCTCTACTCCTGGGTATTATTGAAACACATTAAATACATAGTTATGATAATCAAGGATGCCTCTTCCAAAATTGTGAAATTCGTGGCCCCTGGATCAGGGGTTCTGGTGTTAGGGCGGGGCTCTATTGATTATAAAGTGAAAATGTTTTAATTCTTTAAAAATCTTTTTCTCTGCACCTGGGTATTATTTAAACAAACTAAGTACATTGTTATGATAAGCAAGGATGCCTCTTCCAAAATTATGAAATTCATGGCCCCGGGGACAGGAGTTCTGGTGCTAGGGTGGGGCTATATAGATCCTATAGTGAAGGTGAATTATTTCTTTGAAAATCTTCTTCTCGGCCCCTGGGTATTGTTTAAACAGACTAAGTACATTGTTATGATACGCAAGGATGCCTCTTCCAAAATTATGAATTTTATGACCCCAGGTTTAAGGGTTCTGGTGAGGGGGGGGGGGGGGGGGGGCTTCTAATGATTATAAAGTGAAAAAGCAAAATTTCTTTGAAAATATTCTTTTCTGCTTCTGGTTAAAAAAGCAAAGAAGCTAAGTGTATAGTTATGATGAGCAAGAATGCTTCTTTTAGAGTAGTGAATTTCATGACCCCTGGGTCAGATGTGCTGGTCTGAGGGTGGGGCTCTTGATAATATAGTAAAAATGCATTAATTCTATTAAATAATCCTGTTTGCTCCTTAGTGTTAAGCAGATAAACAAAGTGATTAGTTATGATGAGCAAACTTATGGTTCCAGGGTCAGAAGCTCTGGTGTTGGGGGGGGGCTCTATTGATAATATAGTGAATCTGTAGTAAAAATGCATTATTTCTTTAAAAATCTTCTTCACACCTGGGCATATCTGAGGCAAATAGAGTAAAAATTTTTATAAGGAAGGGATTTTTTACCAGGTTTTTGAACATCTGGACCATTTGGTCAAGTGTTCCGGTCCTGGCCAGGGCTCTATTAGTTTGTATTCTACTGAGAGGAGTTATTCCCCTTTGCCATTTACTTTTGATAATTTATCACTGTAAATAATGTACTTGAAAGGTAAACAGAATAACAGAATTATGCAAAAACTCTTATTGTATAATACAAAAAGTACTTTCATTGTTTTAATGATCAGATAGACTTGTAAGTAGTAGATAAATAAAAATGAGACAAAAATAATTTTTCTTATTAAATGTTCATCAAAGACCAAGAGAGGCCAATGTAAGAGATTTCAATAAGGGATTAAAATAGTACAGAAGCATTGATAATTTGTTAATATACTGTATGGTGATAGTGATAAATGGGGAACAGATTAGAACCTAATTTATGAACTGTTAATGAATATTAAGACCAATTATTTTGTTGATCATGATCACCCTATTTTTTTTTTTCTTTTGGGCAACAAAGTTTCACCTTTCAGTTCATTTTATACTCTATGCATCCTTTAAATTATTGTATCATACTCAGGTGACCGTTAAGGCCCTTGGGCCTCTTGTTTATTTTATGCCACTTAAAGTACAGAGATGTTTTCTAGAGCATGTAACAAATTTTACATTTATTCATTGATCATTTAGGCATCCTATGGAAAGAAGACAACATTAGCAGGGGGTGGAGCTCGGAAGAAGGGAGGTCCCAAACCAGAACTGACAGATGAACAGAGGCAGGAAATCAGAGAAGCTTTTGATTTGTTTGACACAGATGGATCTGGTACCATAGATGCCAAGGAATTGAAAGTATGTAAATAAGTATTTCAAAATAGACAGGTCGAGGATTTAATGTTGAAATCTTCCTTTTCTCATGGCATATGCAAATATAATAAATGTACTGGACTTTTTAGTTTAAAAAGATGATGTGCGCAAGTTTATTAATAGCATTAAACTGTACCATCATTGTGAAAATGAAATCTACACCACAAAATATTGATTTTTAATATTTCCACCCAGCAAAGCTGATTCATTGTGTTTAATTTTATAGGTAGCTATGAGGGCCCTTGGGTTTGAACCAAAGAAAGAGGAAATCAAAAAGATGATAGCTGATATTGATAAAGAAGGATCTGGTATTTGTTTTGCTGAATTATGTCTTTCTAGTTACCACATTATTTATGAGTACGATTGTGATTCACTGATTGTAAAATTGAGCAGAAAGTATTTTAAGATTGGAAACATGGGTGTCCTTTTGAAATCATGGTATCAGCAAGATATACCACACTAGTCTTTCTTTGAATGTGTGTATGTATCAAGATTTCATAATTGTCATTGACAGCAATTACCCTTAAAATTGGCAACAAGCATAGATTGCCATTGATTGGTAAGGAATAAGCTCATTTTTATGTTTTAAGGTACCATTGACTACAATGACTTCCAAAATATCATGACACAGAAAATGAGTGAAAAAGATTTGAAAGAAGAAATCCAGAAAGCATTCAGACTGTTCGATGATGATGACACTGGAAAAATCTCATTTAAGAACTTAAAGAGGGTGTCAAAAGAATTAGGAGAAAACCTAACAGATGAAGAACTTCAGGTTTGTCATTAAGTCTAACATGGAATAAAAAACACCTTTTAATATTGTCATTTTTAGGCTATTTACACTGATTTCACATTTTTTTAGGCCATTTACACTGATTTCACATTTTTAGGCCATTTACACTGATTTCACATTTTTAGGCCATTTATACTGAATTCACATTTTTAGGCCATTTACACTGATTTCACATTTTTAAGGCCATTTACACTGATTTCACATTTTTAGGCCATTTACACAAAGTGTCCTTAGTGGTCAATAGTTTTACTTGTATCACCTGCAGTTCCTCTGGGAATCACTCAAATCTGTCTTTTTTTCATAGTACTGAATGAATTAGTCTAATCCAAAATGCAGGATTTTTGATTAACTATGAAATATTTACACTGTTATTGAAAGTAATTATGTTTCTGTGTCCATCTGTGTGTGTTTATCACAGTCTGACACATGCAAAGGTACATGTGTATCTTCATTTTTTGTACCCTCAGCTGCAACAGATTTACAATACATGTATTTGTCATACAATATTCCAACTTTGCACACACATTGTATGTTCTCAGAGCATTAATGTAACTAATAAATGCAATATCTGTGTCAAATAGTTATTTCTTCTAAATGCTAAAACACTGAAAAATATCCTTGCTTGAAAATTCCAAATTTACTCTTGATTTACAGGAAATGATTGATGAAGCAGATAGGGATGGTGATGGTGAAATCAATGAACAAGAATTCTTGAAGATAATGAAGAAAACAAGTCTTTATTAACCACCACTAGACTGTTCAAATCTCAAACATTCTTAAACCACATTCTCATTGGTTGTCTGGGACCACAGAAAGGTGGAGCTTTTTTGATTGACAGAAAAGAATGAGCGAGACATTCTACGGTGTTTGTGTGAGTGGATGAAGATGAAGAGTGGTAGATTACTCTTAGATTATTTATGTATTGTGATAAATTGAGACATTCATGAAATTAAGACTAAAATTGTAATATAGTTAAATCATTATGATACCTCAATTCTTCCAACTTTGTATCTTGTCTTCATTCCAGTCTTTATAATGATAAATGTTTTGTCTTCATTTCCTTGGTAAAGAAACAGTTTTCAATGTAAAACTGTTGGTAAATGATGAATGTTTCTTGAATTGTTCAATGTACTATTAAGACGTACTCTAAGAATACTAGTATTTGATGTTTACATATGTAATTATGTGTTGATGATATATAGATCTGATTCCAAGCATTTATCCCTGTTTCTGTTGTAGTTGTTTGTTTTGTGAACCCTCAGAATTTTTTTTTACAGTATCTAATATTGCCATAAAAATAAACTATTTAATGCCTCCATCTTGTTTTGATTTGAGATGTAAAGGGTAACAGTACTGTCAGATATTGTCCGTTTGTGCTTGTTTTAACTCTACCAGTCAAATCTGTAACTCTGTTGAACCTTTATATTTTTTAAATTAAAATGTGTTTTTATCTTTACTTGAATGATTATGAAATTGTCAATAAACAAGATTGCCCAGTCAGCATCAGTTTGAATTGAAATCAATTTAATTCATTGAACTGAATGATAACATAATGGCTACATCATGCAAGAAAAATTCACTTGATTCTTTTGAAGTCCATGGACTTCTATGCATAAATTTTAAAATTAGTTGCATGAATGTACTGTAATAATCACATGGGTTAACAGTTTAATGGGATCAGTACAGAATACAGTATGTAGTTTATCATTAATATATAATATTCAATTCCAAGTTCATCATAAACAGGACTAAGTACAAATTTTTTTTGTTTTCAACATACAAATTACGAGTATGGCATGTACAATTTTCCTTTGGGATTATTGGTTTACAATATCTGCTTGTTTCTCTAAATAGTGCACTCATTCTGAATTTTGTAGCTGTGATCATTCACACTATTTCAATTAAAGAAAAGGTTGAAGTAATCCTGCAATTCATATTCAGTACAATGTAAGACTTTGATATAGAAACCAAGTTTTCCTGAGTTAGACAATGAGTGTTGCTTAATTGTTATTGATCATGTCTTCAAAATTTTTATCTAACTTTAGTCTAAATTCTTTATGAGAAATATTTGAATTAGATCAGGTTTAATTTTTGTTGAAGATTGAAAAGCTACTTTGCCATGAAGTACATATATAAGCTCTTTTTCAAAGCTATATAAATCTGCATAATGTCCTCATTGAAGGCAGATACTAAAAGTTCATTATTGTTTGTGGTACTTGATTCCAAAACTCTTAATCTGATATAGTAATCAAACGTTATCATAATATATTTAAATTCCACTTACAGATGAGGAACACAACTGTTTCCTGGGGGAATTTAAGATATGGTGAAATATTCTTTACAAGTGTGAAAGGGTGAAGATAACCCTGCATGTAAACTGTAATGCCAAGACCCAAAAGTATCTATTAATTTAAAGGTGCTTAGACACAGATTTGAACTTAATATTTTCTCAAATTTTCTGTATAATATCACGGCTTATATATTGCAATAGCATTTCAAACGAAAATATAATTAAAAACTTATTTTATTTGGAAATTATTGGAACTTCGAATTCCGGGACACGTTTGATTAACACATCTTTACACTTACACAAATTTTAACTTTATCCTTAATATTTAAGAAAAGAAGCGATTTTGTTATGTATTAATGAAAAATATTACATCTATAATCCAGAAAATTCAGAGTAGATTTGTTCGAAAGCAAAACCAACTGACCAGTATTGTCAGTCCGTGCTCTGTGATGTGTACTGAGTTTAACAAATTGAACACACCCGTGAAACGTAAACTGTTTTTGTAAACAGGGCACGAGCTTTGTTATTGTTTATGTATACGATTCACCGGGTGTGTTCAATTGTTTAACTCTGCACACACCACTGAGCACGGACTTACAATACTGTGAGTGGGTTTTGCTTTCAAACATTTCTACTCTGAATTTTCTGGGTTATAATTTTAATATTTTTCATTAATACACAACAAAATTGCCACTTTTCTTAGGTATTAAGAATAAAATTAAAATATGTGAAAGCGCAAGGATGTGTCAATCCAACGCGTCCAGAAATTTGAAGTTTTAATAAATTCGGGATGAAATAAAATTTTTATTTTATTTTAGTATGAAATGCTATAGCAACATATAAGTTATGAAATTATACAGAAAATTTGAAAAAATATTAACTTCAAATCTGTGTCCAAGCACCTTTAAGGTTTCTTTGACCTCATTACTGAAATCGTGTGACTGCATGCATGGTAATATCCCATTCATATCATGCAGATTTATTTTTGTTCAATGTTTTAAGCATAAGTATAAAACTATAGTCATTGATAAGTATCCAAAGGTTGATCTTTCGACTGACATAGAGTTATTTATATTTATTATACCTCTACTGATTTTTAGCTCACCTGAGCTGAAAGCTAAAGTGAGCTTTTCTGATCACCAGTTGTCTGTCATCCGTCCGTCTGTAAACTTTTCACATTTTTAACTTCTTCTCAAGAACCACTGGGCCAATTTTAACCAAAGTTGGTACAAAGCGGGGAGTTTAAATTGTTAAAATGAAGGACGAAGCCCCCTTACAAGGAGAGATAATCAAGAAAAGACAAAAATAGGGTGGGGTTATTAAAAAATCTTCTCAACAACCACTGGGCCAGAAAAGCTGAAACTCATATGGAAGCATCCTTGGGTAGTGTAGATTCTAAATTGCTCAAATCATGACCCGGGGTGTAGGGTAGGGCCACAATGGGGAATCAAAGTTTAACATTCTAATATATAGGAAAAATCTTATAAAATCTTCTCAAGAACCGCTGTGCCAGAAAAGCTGAAACTTTTAAGGAAGCATTCTGGGGTAGTGTAGATTCTAAATTGTTCAAATTGTGAATCCCTGGGGTAGGGTGGGGCCACAATGGGGAATCAAAGTTTTACATTGATTAGGAAAAATTTTTAAAAATCGGGCTTCTTCTCAAGAACCACTGGGCCAGAAAAGCTGAAACATATATGGAAGCATTCTGTGGTAGTGTAGATTCTTAATTCTTCAAATCATGACCCTTGGAGGTAGGGTGGGGCCACAATGGGGAATCAAAGTTTTACATTGAAATATATACGAAAAATCTTTAATAAACTTCTTCTCAAGAAGTTAGTGTAGATTTTTAATTCTTCAAATCATGACCCTTGGGGGTAGGGTATAATTGGGAATCAAAGTTAATATTCCGATATATACTAGGAAAAATCTTTTAAAATCTTCTTCTCAAGAACCACTGTGCCAGAAAAGCTGAAACTTATATGGAAGCATCCAGGGGTAGTGTAGATTCTAAATTCGTCAAATCATGACCCCCTGGGGTAGGATGGGACTACAATACGTATTACAAGGGGGAAAATCTCGTGAAGAAAGCAGGGCCAAAGTTACTCACGTGAGCATTGTGGCCCATGGGCATGTTTCCCTATATAACATTTGATCGTTAGATGTGACTAATTCCCTAGAAATCATTATAAATGAACTATTATCCCCGTGCATTAGTCAAGTGAGCTAATCCCTGCTTCAAAAGCCAATTCCCGGTTATCCGTAATCCTCTAGATTTTACTTTTACATTGGTATGATATGTGAAAAGACTAATCCCCGTGTGTTAGTTCAGTGAGCTAATTCTTGCTTTGAAATCACGCTATCTGAATCCTCTAAATTTTACATTTGTGTCGGTATAATAAAACAGTTAAAAAGATTTTAACATTGCAGGAGTTAGCAAGATTCCAGTTCCCCTCGACCAGCACTATTTCCATTGGCTTTGCCTCGTAGTCCTGGCCTTGAGGAACTGGAATCTTGCTAACTCCCTCTATGATATACTTTAACTCTATACTAAGCTTCTTCCCCCTTTCCCCTCTCCAGACGAGGCCTGCATGAACCCTATCTGCTCATATTCATAAAACAGTTCGATAGATGTCAAGGAATAAGGAGAAGAATTTGGAAACATTTTGGGAGTTAGCAAGATTCCAGTTCCCCAGGGCCAGGACTATTTCCCAAGGCGAAGCCGATGGAAATAGTCCTGGTCGAGGGGAACTGGAATCTTGCTAACTCCCGCAATGATAATATACTTTTAACTGTTTTATTATACCGATACAAACGTAAAATTTAGAGGATTCAGATAGCGTGATTTCAAAGCAGGTATTAGCTCACTGAACTAACACACGGGGATTAGTCTTTTCACAAAATGTTTCCAAACTTCAAAATTCTTCTCCTTATTCCTCGACATCTATCAAACTGTTTTATAAATATGAGCTGATAGGGTTCATGCAGGCATTTCACAAAATGTTTCCAAATGAAGCTGAAAATATTCAAAGTCTATTAAAAGAGCAATAATAGCCATGGAAGACGACAGATGGACACAGATAACAGTGTGTCACCCAAGTGACCAATAGACTCCGAGAGAGAAATATATCTTTTGATTAATAACACAATCTATGAAATGTTTATTTTTACATTTTTACTATGGGTTCATTTAAAGCACAGGAGTCTGAAGTTTTTATTGTAAAAAAAAAAATCCGGAAAAAAGATATCGCACCCTCAACTTCAAGTTGAGGGTGGGATATCTTTTCCCGATTTTTTTTTTTACAATAAAAACTTCAGACTCCTGTGCTAATATATAATATATATATGTCTAAATATGTAAATGTTTTGGTATTAAAAACTACAATAACAATGGAGATATTCAACATTAAAATCATCCTTGTTAAAATGAACAAGAGGCGCAGTGGTCACATCGCTCACCTCTGCACTTTGGCTAGGAAAAAGCTGTAGTCACTTCAGTATTGAAATGTTTAAATACAAGAGGCCCATGGTCCACAACACTCACCTGAGTAACTTTGGCCTTGCTGTTTTTCACCTGATTTCCCCCTTGTAATACCTATTGTGGCCCCGTCCTACCCCAAGGGGTCATGATTTGAACAATTTAGAATCTACACTACCCTATGATACTTCCACATAAGTTTCAGCTTTTCTAACCCAGTGGTTCTTGAGAAGATTTTTTAATAACCCCATCCTATTTTTGTCTTTTCTTGATTACATCTTCCCTTGGAAGAGAGCTTGGACCTTCATTGTAACAATTTAAACTCCCCTTCACCCAAGGATGCTTTGTACCAATTTTGGTTAAAATTGGCCCAGTGGTTCTTAAGAAGAAGTTGAAAATGTGAAAAGTTTACAGATGGACGGACGATGGACAATGGGTGATCAGAAAAACTCACTTGAGCTTTCATTTCAGGTGAGCTAATAAAAACAAGTACATGTATAAACAAAGCACTCTTTAAAATTTAATTTATCTAAATTATTTTATTTTCAATAATCAGTGAAGAAATAATAAATAGAGTGGAGCACCAGTATTGTAAACATTTGTATCACAGATTCGTTGATTAAACAATTAGTAAATAATGGTACAAATTAATTATATAGACACTGTTTCAGAAATTAATGTTGGCACACAACTTTAATTATAAAATTTGATAGTTGTTCATGTAAAAAAAAAAAAATAAAAACATACATTCGCATACACAATTTTCTCTTGATTTTGTAAATGTCGGTGTATTATATTCTGTCGATGATTTGTCTTATGGGACATGTCGTATTGACAAGTTTTAAAGTGTCGGTGAAAAAAGTGTTGGCAAGTTGTCGTTTGGTGAGTTATCTTATGGTCACCTGTCACTGACCCGTAACATTCAGTTTAACATTTACATATACACATGCATTATTCATGGTTCAATTAAAAAAAAAATTAATATATGCTACATTATAAATGCCCACTCTGAGTATACTCAACATGAGTATCAAATGATTGATATGAAAAAAAATTGAGCTTTTTTTTTGATTGACCAGTTCACCAAGCATATCACTTAAATATTGCTGCATGACTGTATTTGATAACAAGTGTATAAATATTTCACATTCTGATTACCTTTGAGTGATAATAAATGAAGTCTGGCTGCATGTTAATAAAATATCAACAGAGTATTATTATAATCATCTGAATCCTAGCTTGTGCAATATATATAAAATTAATATATTTTGAATAAATTATAAATCGTCTTGCATGAACATCTTACCGGTATATTGTATGGAATGTTCTTTAGTGACAATATCAAGCATTTATGATAGAACACAAGGTCAACATAAAATTAACCTGGTAAAACCATTCAGGATGGCAGAGGTATTTCATTATATGTTAATTTTACATGAGGAGATTTCATTGGCAAAAACCAGTACTCCTCATTATAAAAGAAATAAAATTTGTTGTCAATAAATATCTCCTCTAAAGCAGATATCAGATGCTCTATCAGTAGTGGGCTGGCCACGTGTGCTTGAAATTTGGTGTAGAATTTCATAATATCGGTCTTCAGCGTTTTGTTGGCAAACACCACAGAGACATTTCCGAGATACCTTGGGGTATCTGAGAACAAATTTATGCGGGTGTAATTTAGTTTTACACTCTGGTCAAACTTGACTCCCAGCTTTCCAAATTCTTGAAGTGCCCTTAAAACCCAACTGGCACAGTCAAATGAATCAAACCACAACTTCCCATCTGTAATAAGCAATACATATATTGATTACACATAGATCAAATTTGTATACTAAAATGAACTTTTTCCAATGGGTCATAATTCCGTGGAATCACAATTAATGCATTGGTAGAAAATTATGCAGGTTTCTTAGATAGACACTATATATGCCTTACCTATATTCTTTAAGTACACTGGGACAAATTTTCAAGGAAAAAATTTGTGACGTCTACATAGCATAAAATAATACCATGCGGAAAAAAGACTAAAGAAAAGTCTTGTCAAAGGATTTACACATGTAAAATATAATAGACCTAGCACCAATCCATTCATAAATATGGCCAAGGTTAAATTCATTTTTTTCAAAAAGAAGGTCATATTCCAAGTTCAGTGTCATGAGGACAAAAAACAATGGTACGAAAGGAAAGTCTTGTTACAAGAAGTGCGTAAGTGAAATACAATGTATTCTCTTATAAGTCTCTGCAGCAACCATGCATTCAAAAGTTATAGGCAAGGTTAACTCTTTGAACACTAAAAAATTGCATCTACCATCTGCACTGACTAATCATTATTGATTTCAATGTTTGATCACATCTTTATACATGTTTAACTGTTCTCAGTAGATTAAATGTTATCATTGAGCATACACATGTACTGAAACATTTCAAAGAGAGTTGAAGATTTTTCTTTCATAGAGAATTTTTTACTTTACATGTAGGTAAAAAAGGTATCATACACAATTAGACATGCATTTATGCCTTCTTCTTTGTCAAAGCTTTTAAAACCTTTTTATGCCCCTGTAATCGAAGATTCGGGGACATGTAGTTTTTGGTCTGTCCATCTGTCTGTCTGTCTGTTAATATATTTGCCCATAACTTTTAAATACTTGATGCTAGGGCTCTCAGATTTCACATGTGTATTCCTTGTGACAAAACCTTTCTTTTAGTACCAACAAATTTGACCTTTTGACCTTGGAGTTTGGCCTACTTTTGCAAAAATTTACCAAACTTCAGCCTTGCAGACCATAACTTTTGAAAGATTGGAGCTAAGGTTTTATATTTCACATGTGTCCTTAGGTACCAACATCTTTGACCTTTTGACCATGACCTTTGAGTTTAATGTACTTTTGAAAAACTTTAACCCTGACCATAACTTTTAAAAGTGGGTGCTAGGAATTTCATATACCTCATGTATATTCCTTGTGACAAGACCTTTCTTTGGGTACCAACATTTTTGACCTCATGACCTTGCCCTTCGAGTTTGAATACATTTGAAAAAAAACAATAAAGAAGCCCTTCTTATTTCCATTTTCTTTTTCACTACTAAAGTATTTAAACATGTATATGAATTTTGTTAAAACAAAATACCTGGTTTGTCTCTGACTGTCCAAGTCTCATAATAAAGTCCAGTTGTGTTATCCCACAAAACCCATTCTGCAAATTGGTTAAACACATCACCTGAAAACAAAGGAAAATAACTCATATTAGTATACACAAAAAAAGACACATCACTGAGAGCGATATGAAAAATACTGCACAATATAAATTAAAAGATATGCTGATATGCTCCCTACAATTATTGATGGCACGTTAATCCATATAGGGTAGTGATCAGGTGTCCATTTATACTTCTAATTGCAAAGGAATTCATTAGTTGAATATTGTTGAATTGAATTAGTTGATACTGAACTAAACAGGAAAAAGACCACAAAATAAAATGACTGTAATCATCCAAAACAAGTGCAAAATAATCTGAAGTAGATCACTATCATTCCAATAACAGCATGTCACTTTGCTTGATTAAGCCTGCTTAAGTTTCATATGTTGTTCATTATATTGGTCATCAATCAGCTGTTTGATTTCACTGAATTGAATTCTACTTTGCATATGAAACAGCAATACGCCGGGCCTGACAGCACTCATGACCAATCGTATTTAATGATTATGAGTGAGTATGATTGGAAGTAAAGCAAGCTTTGACTGACCATGTGTTGCTGTTTTCTGCAAATGCTGCAGTAAACAATCATTCAACATGTTTGATGCGATTGGTCACTTTTGTGACATTTGGGGGTTCTGTGTTTTATATGCAAAGTAGTACGTATTTTATTGAATCCAAACAGCCAATCAATGAGTAATCTAGTAATCAATGTGAAAGTTTGGCACACTTGATCAAGTGAACTGACATGCAATTATTGGAATGATAGTAAAATTACTCTTACAATAAATCACTCAAATCAGACACAAGAGGGAATTATCAATAAATGGACATTTATAGTAAAAGAATTACCATTAGTGGTAGCTATGAGTTTTAGTGTTCCGTTTTCTTTCCACAGTCTGTCTTCAATCCCATCATAGATACAAGTTGCTCCCTGATTACACCAGAGAAGTGATTCATTTACAACATGGGGAAATGTGCAGTTAAAGAGCTGAAATAACTCATACCATTCCATGGTATAATTCAGGCCTGTGTTCAGATTACTGATTCCCAAAGCATCGTGAATGATATGCTGCAAACAGTAAAGTAGTTTCCTGTTGTTAGTTAAGGAAGGTTTAAACATGAATGAAAGATGTTTTTTTTTTACTTTAAGAAAAGTTTATTATATAAAGGTGTGGGTATTGAGTTTATTTAATTGAACAGACATTTTCAACATCGGGTAACTGCCATATATTTCTCCAGGAAAAATGTTCAAAGACAATGAAGTATAAGTGAACAGAAATCACTGTCGTTTACTTACATTGGGAAAATAAATGAAAATAATGTTTTTAATTACATGATCTTGGTCTAATATAATGTTAGGAATATTTTACTCTATTTCAAATTGCATCATTTACTGTAGACTCCATTTTTTCATGTTGCATAAAAAGGCAATACAATCTAACTGCATAAAGCTACCATGAAATAAGAACTCTTCAGTGAGCAGTGTTTAGAGCTTCCTTAAGTTCTTAAATGATGTCAATCTAGCTGGAAATCACCATTTTTTTAAAGACATGCATCAATCTGTAAGAAATCAGTAATCCTTTCTAAAGTAGCAGTAATATTTTACTCACAAATTTCCCAAGAAGATTTCCAAATTTGAACTGCCATACTGGTTTTTTCATTGCATATAACTGGACTTTGTCATCTGGCTTAAATTTGGGCATTGAATTTGGTAACTGTCCTGTTGGACAAAATGGAATCACTCCTGCCTTGCAGTATGTACTTGATATTGGTCTGTATTTGAAACGCCTGAAACATGTCATCATTAGACATGCATACCATACTTTGATCAATTTATACACATGAAAACTATACCAGAAACTGCAGATTTTCTAGTTCTCTAAAGGCGATAACACAACTTTTAGTTGACAAAAGCATGGAGCAAGGACTAACAATATGAGAAATATGTTACTGTCGCAAAATTTTCTCTCTCTCTCTCTTTCCTTAAGATATTTAATTCAGGTACCTGACAGTCATATCACAAAAAAAGAAATGCCCTGTTACAACACACTTTGCAAAATTACGCACTTTGAAATTTTTTTTCGAAGTGCATTAAATTTGGAACCAAGTTAACACACCTTGAAAAAAAATATATTTCTTTTCAAAGTGCGTTAATATCCATATTAACGCACCTTGAAAAAATAAATGTGCAAAATTTTATATTTAAATTTTGTACAGTTTAAAATGAAAATCGTCCAACCCAGGTTAAACAGTGTAATTTTAGCTGCTATTAAATTCAGTGCTAAATGGAGAAGATGCAATACTGTATACAGGGTTATTTTGGTCCCATCTTGTTTTCGCCCTTTCGCACTTGCAAACAATTTGCACCATTTTTAAATTCACCCAGTTACAGTTCTGTTTAAGGAAGCATGTACTGTGTTCTTTAAAATCGCCCCATTTGAAAATCGCCCACCTGTGAGAAGGGCGAAAGGGGCAAAAATAAAACAGGAGCGAAAACTTCCCTGTATACATGTGCAACTTTTACGTTGTAGAATAGAAATTTTCGCATGATGACCTTTCAAATTTATTTGAGTATTCAAGGAAATATTTCTATAAGGGTTGACGTATTTTTATGCATTATTTTTTTTTCTTTTTCGGGGACTGAGTCTCATTCTTACAAACTGCCAAATCTTGACTCTTTATTTTTTGTCAGGCTGTAATAATTTTTGTTTTAAAAAAATCTATCAAAAATATAGATAAAATACCAATCCAAGCCCTGTCATTAACTCACCGATACGGAATTGGCCATTGTCCCAGTGCAGTATGATAAAAACATGTAAATAAAACAAGCAAGAAAAAGCTTCTGTTCACGGAAGCTGCCATGTTAGAGTCATGTGATCAGTTTGTCCAGTCATGTGACCAGTCAACGTACGCACTATCTATTACATATTATAATTGAATATATAGGTATTGTGGTTCATTTTTATTATTTTCAGTTCATTGAATGTATTCTCATACCAAAGCCAGAATATCATCATGTATTTTAAATGTAGAAGAACTGAATAAATATATATATTCAAATTCAGAGTAAAATACGTAAGCATTAATAAAAATTTGGAAGGTAGGAAATTCGAATTTTGCACACAGCAATGTTAGATCTATAACACGGTTTTATATTTCTCATCATTTGCTATTTAGCGTCGACAAATTTACATCTTGAAGTTGTTAATGCTTGTATGATTAATGATTATACTTAGTTTATGAAATGAAAAATAGAAAAAAGTAGAATAAGGCCAAAAAAAATAATAGTCTTGTTTCCTAGCTGCTACCAGCCTGAAAAAAATAGGGTAGGTAGGTAGGAAAATTATTTTATATTTTTATTTTATTTTTTTCCGACAGCATTTTTTGGATATGAACTAATACAAGATAAAAATTAAACATGTCACAGGTCAATATTGTCTTTTAAAGTTGATCATGTCTTTTTATGCACAACTCAAGTGGTATTTTATGAAAGTCCATATTTAAAACAAGAATTTGATGAAATGCTTGTTTTGTGTTAACACGGAAACCGATTACGGTGACAGAACGATGAAATTCCAGAAATTCACGATTTTTTTTCTTCCAAAACATAAAAAAAACTTTAGGGTCGGGTGCCAAAAAAATAGGGTAGGTCGGGTAGCAGGAAACAAGACAATTATTTTTTTTGGCCTAATCAATATGAGGTGAAAGCTTGCAGTTTCAGTATTTTGTATTATATTTTAAAATACATTTTACTGTTTTATGTGGGAACTGCTAAGGCGAGAGGAAGCGCGTCTGAATACCCTTACATTATTTATAATATGCAAAACGAGTTAATGTAGATTGTAATTGTCAGATTATGCAGCTGTTTCAATTGTTACTTCATTTTATTAGAGAAAGAAGAATGCCCAGCTATGGACAGTGCATTAACTGCTGGAAAGGTAAAAACTTAAGCAGGGGTGTCAAATATTCAGCCTAGAAAGGTTTTAGTCATCTCAATGCCTGTCCACTTATATAAAGAGGACAATCCATAACCTGACTGGTCTATAACCATGTCAACTCTAACCCTTATTAACTTGTAACCAACAGATGGAGATTCAGTCATAACCAGGACTCCTGTTACCATGGTTACAAATTTGTTTTGGAGGGGAGAAGTGAAGTTTACCATTGGCAAAATTTTAATCATAATATGAAATGTTAAATAAATTTTAACTTAAAATATGTTTTACGTTGCCACCGTTTGGGTGAGCGCAGTTTTATACCATATGAAACCTTTAAACTTTGATCCGCCTCTTCAAACTTCAAACCGTACGAGAGACAGTTTAGACTTTGTTATCCCATGTTTACCCCTTTATCCCATGGATATGACTCATTGGATGATTTTTTCATAATCCACATTTAAGTGCAGTTGTGACGTCACAATGGTTTTTGCATTAGCGTGAAGAAGTAAAATAAAGTTGAGTCCTATATAAAGGTGTAAAACATTGGTTGAGAAGTATTAAACATGGGATAAAAAGAATCTCCCATGATTTGTAGTTGGATATGATTTTTATCCAACTCGTGTGTTTTTATCCCCTCGCCAAGGCTCGGGGATAAAAAACACACAACTCGTTGGATAAAAATCATATCCAACTACAAATCATGGGAGATCCTATATATATCACATGACAAAGAAAGGCATTGTAGGGTAGATGTATTTAATTTTTTTAAGCTCTCTGCAAGAACTTAATCTTAATACTTGAAAACTCAACTGCAGGACTGTTTATTCACCATCATCATATGGAATCGTGGTAGTGAAGGAATTCTAAAAATGTTTCGCAGAAAAATTTGCTTGACTAATACACAAATTTTAAATCGAATTTTCTGTGTTCTTTCACATTGGTCTATTGAGCTCGCTGCACTAGCTATTAACTTATATTATGACTAATATTGTGTTAACTACAGTCAAACCTCATTATCTCAAACTCAATGGGACTGAGAAAAAAATTCGCAATATCAGAGGATTCAAGATGTTAAGGTTAAAATACATAGAAAAAGAGGAGTTTGGACTTCCAGCTTGCTTCAATATCCATGAATTTCCAGATATTGGTGTTCAAGATACCGAAGGCTCAACTGTATTACAGAGGGGGTCAAGTGATAGAATTCTGATAGGTGATTATGACGATTTACAATCAATTCATACACAAACTGATTCGTACACAAGGAGTCAATTCATATACGAAACACAGAAGTCAATTTGTACACAAGGTTTAATGTTTTGTGAACATGATACAAATGAAGTCAGTTTGTACGCAGGGCTTTTTTAAGGTTGTGTAAATGTAAAAAATTTAAATAAAAATATAATAAAATGCAGAAAAATTGAAAAACAGAAATATTTATGGTTAATGGTTAAACATCTTTCGGTTTTAGGAATTCAGATAATTATTGTTAAACCAACACATGGCGGTTTCTTGAATCTGCGACAAACGCTAATTTTTTTCACTAATTATGAGATACTCCATGCTTGGAAAACATCTCCATTCCCAAAAGATGTAAATCATGAATTTCCATTACTCCGGCTATTTCTATCAGTATGCATCATAGTAATTATTCATTAAATATGGTAACTTAGTAACTGAATATGCATCACCATCTGTTTCTAATTCTTTCTAATCTAATCCAATTCTTAGATATGAGTTACTCTAGCTAAAATAGAAAATGGACTTCTCATTTTTGTACAAAATATTGTAAGAAAAACTTTTGTGTACAAATTGACTCCTCACTTTGTATACAGGAAAGCCTTGTGTACGAATTGACTTCTCTGTTTCATGTATGAATTAACCCCTTGTGTACGAATCAGTTTGTGTACGAATCGACTGAACACCATTATGGTAGCACTTTTACCTGAAGATAAAGAGTTGGTAATTTGGGTTTTAGTTGGCATGGTTACAAGTAGGTCTGGTTTCAAGATTACTTGATACCTCTGGATATTGTTGGATTATTCAATTATTACTGTTAACAGAGTTTTTAAAATTCTAAAGGAAAGAATTTGAAGTTTGTTCAAAGTTTTAGAATCTCTTTTACTGTAGTGTCATTAGTGTTCATGAGGGGCCAATGCTCATGGATTTTGTGGGTCACACTTATCCACAAATTTACATCCCTACGAAAAATAACTGTCAAAGTATTGTTCATTTAATCTTCTTTACATACAGCTTACTCATGAAATAATGTCCCCAAAAACTAGGAGTGAAACGGTTCACCGCGGTATCGATGCACCGCGGTATTTTTTCTTGGTTTGATACACGGTGCAAAATCTCCAATCTTCGGTTCGGTTCATTTTTCGGTCGGGATCGTTATTCAGTTGGGTTTGGCATAAGGTATAACACGTTACTCAGAATAAATAAGTATAGAAAACATAAATTTTTGATGACTGATAGCTTGTAAAATAATTTTTGACAGTCAAATGATTTTAATCAATTTCTTCTAGTCAATTTGCAAATAAAATTTGTAAAATATGTGACTAGATTTAGAAAAAGAAAGCATAAAACAACGTAGAATTTGTTTCCTTCTATCAAAATGTATCGTATCGAAAATAACCGAACCGAGACAAAATTATACAATACGTATTGAACCGTGAAGGAGGTGTATCGTTTCACCCCTACCAAAAACCAGTAAAATTCTGGTTACCCATGAACATCAACCCCCATGAATTAAAATGATTCCACAGTATTGTTTGGTTTGTTGTTTACAGCTCATTGACATGAAGTGGAAGCTAGGAGTGGCTGTAAGCAGTGATGAATGTAAATCATTGAATTCACCTTGTGTTACCATGACACTCAAAGTTGCTGATTCCTCAGGAAAAATATCCACTCACTCTATGGAGATGACAATTTCACAGTTTCAGGTCTGTTGTGTTATAGAGATGATCAATTAAAATTAAATTTTGATCAGTGTGCTTATTTTGATTCCTATGATTTCATTATCAAAATCAATAGAAATCACTGAAAATTAAAACCAGTGTCTGTTTTACACAATGATTACAGTCAGATCTCATTATCTTGAACTCAATGGGACCGAGAAATAAATATTAGATATTGATCGTTAAATACTTATAGAAAAAGTGGTTGGGACTTCCAATTCACTTTGACATATTCATGGCATTCGAAATATCAGTGTTCCAGATACTGCAGTTCAGCTGTACATGATTTACATGTAAACAATCATACCACAACAGCTGATGTTGGGTTACTCAGTGATTATTTTGCAGCATCATTTGTATTTTGTAGAATTTTTCAAAGCAAATGAAGGAAATGGCCAATAAGATGGAAATGGTTTGAGAAAACAAGACGTAGCAGTTAGCGATCAAGGAGATGAAGATAAAGGCTGAGAGATTTAGACTTAAAAGACTGTGTTAATGCATTCTTATGTAATGGAAAGAAACAACACTAAATTGGACTACATGCATTAATAAAAAGGAACACTGAAATAAATAATTCTTCTGAAGCAAAATCTGCACAAAAACATATTGAATCAACCATACAAACTAACTGAAAAAGACTTATCTACTACTTCATACTATTGTATATGTTCTGAAGACTTCCACTTCTTTAGCAATTTATAATGAATTCTTGGATGTACTCCAGTTATTTCTGAGAATTATTGGTGCATATTTTTTTAAAATTTAATCATAGATCTGAAAGACATACAGTGCATATAATGCCTTTTACCTCCTTTACTTCTATATTAAAATGTTTATTTATTAAATTATATAAATTCATGTTTTTTTGATTGATTTTGGAGAAGAGAGGAGAAATATCACTGACGTTCTGTGTCATTACTGGTTCCTAAATTAACCAACAGTTGGCATATATCAACCCCCCACAAAAAAAAATACTTCGGATATCTTTGCAATACATTTCTATCATTCTGAAATTTTCTTAATGAATAATTAAATTACTAGTTTACATTATTCTAGTTTCAGGTAATTGTCATCTCATGCTGTAAGTCTGTGTTCTGTTCATGCACTTATGTTGTTTAGTTTATTTGTTATGTTTTACTAACTGTTTGAGTTAAGGCATAATTAGCATGAATAATGCATGTTAAGAATCATTAACTGAGTTAGTTCTCTTGACATGTTGAATAAAACTTTTGACAGTTGTAAAAAAAGTTTTCTTACTCTTGGATTGTCTCCCTTAGTCCAGTAGTCGCATGGATTTTGAACTAGATTAATGCTGTATTTTCTTTATGAGAAAAATTTATTTATTTTGTTCCTTTTTTTCCTAATAGATTATCTGTTATTTAAAGTTAAAAGGATGGAAGTTAATAACATTGGCACGTCTCCAAACTGTCTAGAAATAAAGACGCTTCCAAGCGATCAACTTTAGTGTGAAAGATTCAGTTACAATGTGTGCATCTTTAATCTTGATATGGTTGCACAGTTTGTCAATAAATATGTATTTCTTCCCTATCATATTTCTTTTGGACAGAGATATTATCATACTAAAATTTCTTTTCATTTTTGCCTTGCTGCATAATTCAATTCCACAAGAGGTGGTTAATGTTTCCTGTTGTTTTAGGTATTTGTTTCCAAGGGTTAATGTGTTAAAATTGACAGGGAAATCATATATTCCTGACATTCAAAAAAACAGGTGGTCCTGTCTTAAACTTTCAATTTTTTAATATAAATTTCAGATAGTAATAATAGTTTGCTACCAGAGCCTCTCCTTTTCTTTTGTAGTTTTATTTTAGTAATACAGGTATTATTCACACAATCTTCTTTATTTTTTTGTATTCTTTTTTTCATTATATACACTGTATAAACCTCACCAGTACAGATCCATGAAATAAGATTGCATGATGTCACTCTGCACATAGGCAAGACTAGGTGGGAGACATTAAAAAGGAATTCTTAAAAATGTAAAATAGTAAATATAAGGAATGGAGAATTTGATGATTATGATAACCAACAGAAAATCCTTGCATCATTTGTTTTGCCTTTTACATGAAAAATTACTCATGTTGCCAACATGGATGGAATCCTCAAAAACTCCAAAAACAGACACAATCCCTTAAAATATGAAAAAGATTGGCAGTGTAAAAAAGAAATGTATCCCAAGATAAATTTTAACAGAATCCTCCATACATTTGCTGAAAGTGATTTTAGGCTAAGAGAGAGGTGTTCAGTACATGTACTGTCAATATACCATATTATACAGCCAAATCTCTAGATTGGCTTGTTAGAAGTGTTAATTTTGATTTTGCTGTAACATTTAGTTTCTGCTATGGTAATATCATTTTTCCCTATGTAAGAGCATATTGATAATTATTTTTGTTGAAGGTACTGATCTCTCCTAATGATGACACCAATCAATGAGTTATGGGAGAGACAATTTGAAGATCTGATCAAGATTCTAGTAACCAGTATGGTAGAGATTTTTATTTTTACAATATAAGAAAATCAAAGCCCTCTGTTGTAGAACCAGATGAAGTAAAAATGGATGAAATGCTTCAAAGCTGAAATGATTGACATAGCAATTTCACTAACTTTGACAAGTTTCATGTCTTTGAAGTACTCTCCCTTGTTAAAGTGTCCATGTCTTAATTTGTCTCTCCTTGTACAATGTCATGTTTCTTGTAAATGACAAATTTTACAGGGTGTTTGATTTCCGTAACAGCTGCACCTGTGTGCCGTGGAAAGTGAGGATGAAACCTAATGCCATTGTGAGGCAGATGAAACTGACATGGGACAAAGATCTGTCAATCAAGATTTAGAAAAGTTTTTTTTGCAGAGGAGGCCTTTTCATGCAATCCAATGTATGGTAATCCCTAAAAAAAAATATGAAATTAAAGGAAAAAAAGTGACTTGTAGTCAGTTCTGAGAAATGTATTCAAAATGTTGTTTTAATTAAGTGACATTGAATTTGATTCTGATGAAACATTTACACATGATATTAAAAAGGCCTATAAAAAAGGCAGATTTTAACAAATGTGTTCAAATATGAGAAAGTTCATATAAATAAATAATGTTACTTTCACATGATGAATTAAAGTTGACTGTACAGTATTAACATTTCCCAATTACAAGCACCTGGGGATCCTATGCAAGGACCAATGAAATTAGATTCTTTATTCATGTGACTTTGTTCCTGCCAATCACATTGTCAGGATCGATTTAAAAATTAGCTTCATCTGTTAGATCTGCACTATTCAAATGTCACTCATCTAACAAACTTCTCAGTTAATGAGTACGTGTCTCTCATAGCAACAGTCAGCCTCTCTTTCCTATTTCCATTGATGTGGCCAGTTTTTACGCCTGTTCATTTAAATATTTTTAAATTAATTATTGATATACCTTTCTTCAAGAACAGTGCTGTGAGTGGATTGATAATTTTTGGTTCTAGCTTTAGCTATAGAGAATCTATTTTGGTTATTCTTCAATCAGTTTTGTTTCTGTCATCATCAGCTCCTTGAATGGAATATTTTTAACAATTCTACAAAGCCTTAATTAGTCAACATACTTTGGGTCTATTAATTAATTTGTAATGTTTATCATATCACTGAATGGTTATCATACACTGTACTATATGCATTCATTTTAGACTTTAAAGGGGAAAAAAACTAGTGGAGGTTGATAAAGTTAAACTGTAGAAATTCATGCAGTTATCACTGAACTTCAGTTGCAGATTTAAAAAAATCAGAAGATACAGATTAGGATAAGACATAATAACAATGTAGGTTAATTGTCATATTTCTCTAAAAAAAATTGTTACTAGAGGAAAGATTTAGTGGTCTCAAGGGTCTGACAGTTCAGTATCTAACAGATTGAACCCAGATATGTTCAGCACTTCATGTTGGTTTCTCAGACAAGTCACTTGATTGGTATTATCTCAACTGCTATTGCCTGGGATTAATCGATAATGAATGGGTGCAGGGATTAACCTGCCATGATTGTGACAGGCTCTCGCTGGTGAACGGTGGTTCACCTGTGATTGATGGGGTGATTGAAGGTCCATGTTTGGGTTCACCTGTGACACTAGGTATAGGGCCCTTGTTTAGGGTTCAACTGTGACAAACTTGGTACAGACTCTTGTTTGTGGTTCACTTGTGAGGGATAAACTGCAGGTACTTATTTGAGGTTCACCTGTTATAAACAAGGCACAGAGCCCTTATTTGGGGTTCACATGTGACATCTCTTGATTTGGTTTCACCTGTGTCAGACTGCATATAGAATCTTGTTTGGGATTCACCTGTGAGGGACTGAGTACAGGCCCTTATTTTGGGTTCACCTGTGACAGATTACATAAAGGCTCCTGTTTAGGGTTCCCCTGTGGCAGAATGGGGATGAGCTCTTATTTAGGGTTCAGTTGTATCAGACTGGGTACTGGCTGTTGTTAGGGGTTCATTTGTGACAGACTGGGTAAAGGCTTTTGTTTGGGGTTCACTTGTGACAGACTGGGTACAGGTTGTTGTTTGGGGTTCACTTGTGAAGGACTGTGTCTGGCTAGGATGTGAACCTGTGATAATTTCTGATAAATTATTTTATACAGTTCTGGTGGTCTTTCTTTTTTAATCTACTAGACCTACAGGAACAAGGTATAAGCATCAATTTTATCAGTCTAATAATTAAGGAAATTTCAAATATTAACCAGGAAAACATTGCATGTACATACATACCTTGTCTCTACGGTACATTTGTGATGGGAGTGTAATTTAATTTGCAGAATTTTATTTGTGCATTTCAGGGTGATGACAAATAAATGTTGGTAATTTGATACTGTATATTGTCATCCTCAGCACTTCCTTCACTTTCTCTAGTACGTTCCTCATCCCCCACATATGACCCCCACAACCCAGGTAAGTTATTGTCACCGTACAGCTACATTTATAATTATCATTACAACATTACAGAGGGTAACAAAGTCATTGGTCAATTACCTCTGGTTCAATACAATAAAAAAAATTAGACTTAAAGTTCAGAATCTAAATTCATTTGATCAGAGAGCGAATGACAGGTCTTGCGATATTTCCTCATAAATTCAGGATGAAATTTGAGCTAATTCAATAAAGGTGTTTTATACGGTTTTTCTGCACCCGGTTTTCTATTGTGAAAGTTTACACATCTGCATGGGAAATTGAATCTCAAAACTGGGGTGTAAGGACCATATACCATAAAACTCGCCCATCCTTGTCCGGCTTCTTTTGCGGGTATAATTGATGCGATAATGAACTTCAGCATTAATGATTATTCTTGTATTTGATGGCAGTAAATTGTCTGGTAATTTGAATAAATTAACGTCATATGGTGTGTGTTAAATGTTTTAAATTTTTTAAGGAATAGAATATGATATATATGTAGATAATAATATAAGAATTTGGTCAACAAAATTAGACACACTGTGTTTGTATATAACCGTGTGTTACACTTTCTCTTCATATTTGGCAAGTTTCTTTCAAGTTGTATCTTAGTTGTTTGGTTGTTGTTGTTAGCGGTGTCTGTTTCTGATACATGAAGATTTATGATGGTCATAAAAGATAGAATTTAAACATAATAAGGACTCGGATTAAACTGCAGTAAAACTGACTGGATAATGATAGCCTTGTAGTATTAATGTGTTGGATTTGGTGCAGATTTTACCTAAATGTACCCAGTGTCATAAAACTTCTGCTAATAAGGATGGTCCTTTTTTTTTTATACAAATCTGTAAGATATATTCAAAAGTTCTGTTACTTCACACGAAACAAATTTATCACTGTCCTAAGCAAACATTTTTAAGTACC